ATGGCCTTACCCAGCCATGGCCTTACCCAGCGATGGCCTTACCCAGCCATGGCCTTATTCGCCGCTAGGATCGGATGTTTGAAAGGCGGTTGGGTGGGGGAGTGGGGAAGCGAACATCAAAGTGAGATTTTGGTGCGGGGATTTCCCCCTTCTCCTTTCACTTCCCTCCAGCTGCAAAAAGGGTGGGGAGAGCAGGGACGCTCGCTCGCTCTTGCAGGAGGAAACTTCCCCCTCGCTGAGGTTAATGAACCCACCTGACGCTGTGGTGGCCGTGCTGGCCAGGGAGACGGGCTGCCGGGATTACGTGTTATTCTGCATGCATATCCGTCAGCCGCAAGGCTCTGGCAAGAGGCCCCGGCTGGAATTAACCTGCAGTAACCCTGCGGCGCAGGGGCAGCCTTGGCGGGGTGTGCCGCCCGGGCTGCGCTGGAGTATGAAAGCCATTATAATCCGCTCATTCACGGCGCTTAAAGAGCCAGAGGGTTTTTTTCCCTGGTTCTGCTGGAAGGGAGGAGGGTTTGGAAACGGTAATGTGCAGTGTTCTCCATCCCGTGCTTTACCGAGTCCGGCCCGCCATGCCATCATCTCAACAAGTCTTAAAGTAACGTTTTTATTATGAACAAATAAAATTTCAGATCAGCACAACCAGATGTCTGTTTCCATATTAGTAGAAATTATTTCAAAAAGGTCTTTTTTTCTTTTCCAGTACACAAAACAGAGATACTACTATGCAGAAATCCCTAAGCTGTGAAAAATCATATCCTACTCACATTTCAACAGTGACAGAGCTTAGACAATGTGCAGATTCAACTTTCCAGTCCTTCCCTGAACACCCAACACTTGGACATCTGCTCTTCACAATACCAGCGGGGCTGGGAACGGTTTTGGAAAACAAACCAGTCCATGCTTCTGCCAGCAGCGGTGTGTGTGTGGTACGTACGCCGCCCTCCTCTGCGCTCGGCCAGTCGGCAGCGAGCCTCACCTCACCCCTGGGAGGCAGGGCGTTACCCCCTGTTACGGATAGGGAAACTGAGGCACGGAGAGTTTTTTTTAAGTTACTTTGTCCCAAATCACGCAGTGAGCGAGTAGCTAAGCTGCAAACGGGACCCAGGAGAACAGCCGCTCGAGCCACGAGGTCCCACTGCTGCCTTCTCTGCTTCCCCCTCTGACAGACTCATTTAAGCTAAACATACAGACGACGCGTCCAGGATACAAACATGCCACCAAAAATATATATATATATTTATGGTTGTGTATATATATATATATCTCAAACAAAGTTCTACTTAAAGTGTTGTATCTGTTTCTTAATCTAACAAAAATTCTAACTCAAATACATTCAAAATCACCTGCACCCACAGTTCAATGTAGGCAATTAAATAATTAAGAAACCCCTCGAATGGTCGTAATTCAGAAAAAAAAAAAAATACGGCAAATAGCTGTCAATACTCCTATGTATATTAAAGAAAGATTTAAGGCACCCAGAGATATTTGCCAATCTACCTTTAAAGTGACTGGGCAAACACCAGGACTGTTTGGTTACTGCTCCTCAGCTTCCACCCTAATTCCAGATTCTGGACCCAAATCAGCACTTGAAATTTGAAAAGAACCCTTGATGTCAAACCCTGCTTCTCTGCTGAGAGGATGTGAAATATTGCAGCATGTCACGGCACGCTTCTCTACTGTAGGGTATGTCATGTCACACAACACATTAAGGGCACCAGGAGCAAGGAAATCATTCTCCTCACCTTCTTCCCTCCCCACACCCCTTCCAAATTACTGGCTGGAGCAATTTCATCCTCTCTGGAGACTTCCCTCAGTTCAGAAGGGCTTAGACTAGAGCAAAGTCAGCCCACAATTACAGAGCTAACAGTGTTTCTCTTTTTTTTTTTCTGAGGGCTTTTTTTTTTTTTTTTTTTTTTTTAAAGGGGATAAATATGACGTTCAGCACCAGGCCAAGGAACACATGGGCAAAACCTGCGGGCGGGGAACCC